GATGAAAAAAACCCAAACTGGAGATAGTCGAAACTGAATCGGTGTCCTTTTGCGTGGAAAGCGCTGGCTGTATCACCGAGTGACGACAGTGCTTTGCCAGCAGACTCCGTGTTCCCGGCTGAACGTAATTGCTACAAAAGAGAAATCGAGCCCAGTCTGGGGGGCAGGGTCCGATCTTTTTTTCTTTTCTGGAATCAAAATGAACAAAACACACACAGAGAGGAAGGGAATGTGGGAGGCTGGCTTTGGTCTTCGCTTTGATTTTGTGGGACAAGGCTCGCTTTGTTCCGGAGTCCAGAACGGTGGGAGCTGGAGGTAATTCTTTTTAAATCTCTTTTTCTGCCTCCCTTCCTCCTCCCTTCTCTTTCTCTCTCTCCTGCTGGGAAACAGGGCCAGGGAAAGACAAGCACAGGACTGCAGTTGTGAGGAGCCCCCGTTAGGGGACTGCCAATGGCCCGTGCATATTAATCCGGCCACAAAGTTCTCCGGCTTGCCATCTTCAACAAGGGCCGGGTTGCCAACTTTTCAACCAGCTGCTGTAGGCTCTTCTTCATACCCCCAGCCCACCTTGCCCAGAGCCAAATGTGCAGTCTAGACACCAACAGGGCATGGCGTTTTCCCCTCTGTGGTGTGGAGCAGTGTCGCTGCTAAGTGTGTGCGTGTGAGTGTGTGCTACTGCCATTTTCCTGGACTGTGTACACTGGGCCTCAGATTAAGAGTGCATGTAACACTGCCCAGTTATAGCATTTTGATAGCACGTTCAGCGTCAGTGACTCCATCTTGTGCCAGGTCTGTAGTTTGGTGGCATATCTCCTTTAAATTGTGATGCACTCGCCTCTACTACAGCCCGACGGTACCTCACCAAGCGACACCTTCTAGGATTCCATAGGTTGGAACCATCGCAGCGAATGTTTTTCCAACTGTTCCAACGGTGCAGTGTAGACAAGACTCCGGGAGCATACGGTGCTTTGAGAGTGCTAAAGCGCTAGGTAAAATGCCAAGCAGGCTGGCCTCTCTAACTGCCTTATGGTAGGTAACACGGCTGTGTATCTTGCACGTGTTTTCATGTTGACGTCCACAGAATGTCCTGCAGTGGCGGCCTGGTGCCCACTCCGGGCAGTGGGCTGGAAGGCGGGGCATCCCGTGGTGGGAGGAGCCAGAGACCGGAAATGGTTCCCCTTATCCACACACAGACCCGCACTTATATGTGCACAGAAAGAGAAGCGGGCAGGCGGGCAAGCAGGTATCCACACACAAAGAAGCTGCCTGCCTCTCGTAAGGAGCCAGATGTTGGAAAGATGGTGGGGCTTAACTCTCCCTTACCATAACAGACCGGCTGGATTTGATGCAACGCTGGAGCTGTGTAGCGGATAAAAAGCAGTGTTTTGGTGTAGCTTTCCAGCCCATGCTGCTGTTCTTTAGCACAAATAAATGCTTGAATTGCAATGCACCAGTTTGTAGGAGTCAGTGGCTTAAGCGTGTGGCTGCAGAACCAGAGGTTGGGGAGTTCGATTCCCCCGCTGGGCCTCCTTAACCAGGGCTGGACTCCATGACCCAGAGGGGTCCCTTCCAGTTCTGCCGTTCTAAGATGACAGTTATTCCCAGTCAGCGCGATCCTCAGGGCTGCTCAGAAAGAAGAGGCCACTGATGCGCGCGCGCCTTTTCCTCCAGCCTGCCCATGTTAAGAAAACTTCCTTTGTGAGAGTTTTCCTTTTCCCTCAATAACAGAAGATGAAATAAAAATGGGGAGGTTCGTTTCTTCCGCAGAAGCCGGCGTCGGTGGCGTCACGCTCTCTCACCGCTGAGGGTGCTGTGAGGGATTTTGGGGGGGGGGCAGGGAAATTAATTAACAGCCTTTCTGCTAACGCTGTTTTATATAACTCGGCTGCTATTGTCTCGCTTCTGTCCTGAGTTAGCCTGGCTGAGGGTGGGACGAGGCCTTATTTTTTTAAAAAAAATATATGATTAAAAAACATGTCGGTGGGCTATGACATTTGTTTCTGTGGAAACAGGGATGCTGCTTGGGGGGGGGGAGAGGTGCCTGAAAAGTTCACCCCCTCCCTTAGCAACAGATGAAAAGGGCCCAAATTAAGGGGAAGGGGTTTGAATAGAAGCCTGGGCGGTTGCTTAGCAACCGCTACAGGAGAATAATGGGTGGTTGTTTGGAAGGTATTTGTTGCCCTGTGAGGAGAAATGTGTAACTCGAAAGGGAGGGAGGACCTGGATTTGGGGAGGGGGAAGAGAGATGTTTGTGGGAGTTTTCTTTTAAAAAAAGGGTTTGTATTATAGCTGTGTAAATTCAGTGCAAGCCTAGGCACATCTAATTAATGTGCCGTTAAGTCCATTCTGGCTTATGGTGACCCTTTTCAAGGTTTTCCAGGTAGAGAGAAGTGGTTTCCCCTTCCCTTCCTCTAGGGGGAGCCCTGGGACGGTGCAGCTGGCCCAAGGCCACCCAGGCTGGCTCTCCTCCCAGGAGGCCCGGTGGGGGAATCGAACTCCCAACCTCTGGCTCCCTAGCCAAATACCTAAACCAAGAAACACATTTTATTGATTTCTATGGGGCACCTCCAGCATAGGTATGTGCCGATCGCACCCTGGGGGTCCTATTCACTCAAGAAATCTCTTGAGGGGCTGATTAATTTTCTTTTGGTCACAGATTAAAACAAGGGAGGGCGCCATGTAAGGGCAGCTAAGACTCAGGTATTAAAAAACAAAAACAAATGAAAAGGCTTTTCATTGCTTCATCCTGAGTGGATGTTGCACACAAGTCAGCTAAAGGAGCAGGAAGAGCAACGAAAGCGGCCTTAAATTTGCTCAAAAGGAACAAATCCATTTTCTGCCCAGGGCAAAAACAAAAAACAAAAGAAACCATCAGTGGAAATCATTCAACAACATTTCAAAAGGAGAGACGTTTGTGCATTTAAAAAAATAAATAAATAAAAAGGGGCCCTTTTTCTTACTTGGTTGATGGGTCTTATTTTTGGAATAAACCACAGGAAAGGATTTCATGGCTGCTCTCCAAGGTGCTGAAACCTATCTTCAAAAGAAGCGCCTTGGAGAGCTGCCTGAAAGTTCAGGATAAATCCCAGAGCGGATTCACTGCCACTGGGAAATTGGAGTCACCAGCGTCCACTGCCCCAGTCAGCAAAATGTTTGGGGCAGCCTTTCCTGTTATTGAATCAGGGACGCCCCACCTAATTTTGCTGCCTGAGCCAAGAGATCCTTGCCCCTTTACCCAGTTCTCAAGCAAACCAACCTGATAGCAAAAAGTGGTTGCTGGTGACATGACCTTATCCTTCTCAACACTAACGGATGAGTATAAGGTCGGACTAGGTTCCTGAGATGGGCATCAGCCTCACCCCCAACACAAAGAAATGGCCAGGGTGGGGCAGGATCCTGCTGACTCAGGATTCACCACCCAAGGCAACTGCTGCCCTCCGCCTGATGGCCAGGTTGGCCTCAGGAGAACAACATGAGATGACGTCCAGAGATGAGTTGAAGCCAACCAAGCTATGAGTATTTTGGCTTTGCTTTCATTGGTGGATCGTCTCGATAATAACAAGGAAGGAGCTGTAGGGAGATGCCAGGCGGGTGAGATGCAGAGACAGGGTGGGGTAGCATTTAGGATGCTGGACTAGGACTTGGAAGTCCCAAGCTCATGTTCCCCATGTGCCATGAAGCTAGTTGACCCCTGGAGCCAACGTCCTTCAACCCGGCCTAACTTGCAGGGTTGTGGCAAGGATGATCTAGAAAAGGTACATCACAAGCTTGAGCTTGCTGGAAGAAATGTGGGCCTGATTGAGAAAGAAGATTAAAAAGCAGGAATTCGATTTGTGAGGTGTACCAAACCATCCAAAACTTTATTTGGGACTCCCTTTCAAGAAGGGCTTGAAAGCCACTCTCCTCAAGTAGAGGTTTGGCTGGGCAGGGGGGAGGACAAATGGAAGAGATTGATTTGATTGTTCTGGGGTGTCCATGCCCTGCCCCCAGTCCCAGTTTCATGAGGAGCCTTTCTGCCATGAGAAGTTTAGACCCTAATTTATCTAGGCAAGTAAATCCACATTCTTGTATTTTCCATCCCCATGTAGGGGTATTAAAGCTGGACAGTAGAGAAAGCGGACAGGAAAAAGAAATGATATGTTTGAAAGGTGGTGCTGGAGGAGAGCTTTCCAGATACACGGCATTGCTAGAAAGATGAACAAGTGGGTGCTAGATCAAATCGAACTCTCTCTGGAGACAAAAATGATGAATCTGAAGCTACCCTACTTTGGGCACATCATGAGAAGGGATGACTCTCTGGAAAAGACGTTAATGCTGTGAAAGGTGGAAGGCAGGAGGAAAAGAGGAGGATCAAATGCAAGATGGACCGACTCCCTAAAAAGAAGCGATAAGGTTGAGTTTACAAGAGCTGAGCAGGGGCGTTGAGGTCGGGGCATTTTGGAGGCTGCTCATCCATAGCATCACCCTAAGTCAGAGGCTACTTGACTGCACACAACATGACTAACAGCACTGGATGTTGTGTAGAACCCAGAACTTGGAAACATTTCTTGTTGGACTACAATAGCCAGCATTCCCTGCCCACTGAAAAGGATTCTGACAGCTGGAGTCTAAATAAAGTTACTTCCCGGAAAATACTACCTTTAGCTCAAAAATCATGTTTGTACCGCCAGATACGGCTATTGGTAGCAATCCTCTTTCCTGCTTGATGGATGAGGTTGACAAGGATAATGTTGGTACCCATTCTATAGCTGTGACTCTCTCTGGAGCGTAGCTGAAGAGCAGGGCTGTCTGGTGCAGACATGGCACCACCTGGCTTGGCCTGGAAATGTGGTTCTTGTCCCGTCCCCAGGAGAAACCCAAGTCCAACTTTTGGCTTGAGTGCTGCTCTCTCGCTTGGATGGATGAAGCATCTCTTGATCCTACTCGGTCCTGCCCAAACTCCGTGTGGTTACAAACATCTCATGGCTGACTCTCTCTCTCTCTCTCTCCCCTCCCTCTAGGTTTATGAACCACAGGGTCCCACCCAACCGGAGGTACCAGCCAACAGAGTATGAACATGCTGCCAACTGTGCCACGCATGCCGTGAGTTGTGTTTGCGCTTCCGTGGGTGTAGGAAACAGGGTGATGGCGATAGTTCAGGTGGGGGAATGCCAGGAGCTGTGGGGTGCTGAGGTTTTGCGATATGTGTGTGTGTGTGTGTGTGAGTGAGTTCAACTTCTGCACTTATCTTCCCACCACTGACTCACTGCAAATGCTGTTGTTTGGCCTTGTGCAGCCCTCGGCTGTTCGTTATTGTGAACAGTTTGTACACCACGTTGCAGATAAGTCAACTTAAATGCATTCTGAGATGCTGTAATGGAGACCCTCTTCAGTTGCCCTTCCGGACTGGCAAGCAAAGATTGATTTAATAAGCCAAGCCTTTGGCAATTAATAGCCTCGAAATGGTGATCTCGGGCTGATGTGCTAATTTTCTCTCTCCCTTTCTTTTTTAAAGCCAAACTACTATTATTTTAATGAAGAGGTTTCAATTTTACTTCTATTTTAATGCTAGAATAGCTGTAATTCAATTTGAACCCAGGTTGCTTTATAGCATTTTAATTCTATTGTTTTTAAACCACATTCCAGTTCTGGGACAAAAGTATTGTCTAAACAAAAAGCAAAGCATGCTGCTTATCGACTGTCCCATAGCACTCTCTGGGTGGTTTACAAGTTGTTGATGCAGGCTACACATGGCCGCCCCACCCCCCAGCAAATCGGGAACACTATTTACTGACCTCAGAAGGGTAGAAGGCTGAGTGAACCTTGAGCCAGCTACCTGGGACTGAACCCCAGGTTGTGAGCAGAGTTTTGCCTGCAGTACAGCAGTTTAACCACTGCGCCACAAGGCTCCTTAAAATAAATCACATATATCCAAGCTCCATAATTCTTAATAAATTTAGGACTACACGTCTCAGAATCCTCTAGCCAGCATGCCTGGTGGCCATGCTGATGGTGGGATTCTAGGAGCTGGAGGCCAGCTGTTTCCAAGCTCTGGAATCCAGTTGCTAATCATCATCATCATCGAACGGCAGTGGAGGTCAGTTTAAGTGAAGATGGAGGAAAGTACTGAAGAGTTGTATAGGAAATTTTCTAATGCAAAAAGGGTGCAATCACATTGCCTTCTGCTTCCCTCCCAGTTCTGGATCATCCCAAGCATTTTGGGCAGTTCCATCCTCTACGTCCTTTCCGACGACCAGTGGGAGACCATCTCTGCCTGGATCTATGGCTTTGGCCTCTCTGGACTCTTTATTGTCTCCACCATCTTCCACACCATCTCTTGGAAGAAGAGGCACCTGAGGTAACTCTGCCACCCACTTACAAAGGCAGGCAAAGAGGGCGGCACTGAGTCACAGCAGTTTCCCATGGCTATAACAATGATAATTGTGTGTTGTCAACTTAACTCTTACTTAAGGTGACCCTTTCCAGGGTTTTCCAGGGAGAGGATATTCAGAAGTGCTTTACCCTTCCCTTCCTCTAGGGGGCAACCTTGGGACGGTGCAGCTGGCCCAAGGCCACCCAGGCTGGCTCTTCTCCCACGAGGCCCGATGGGGAATTGAACTCCTAACCTCTGGCTCTGCAGCCAATGCCTAAACCACTCAGCCATCTAGCCAGCTGCAGATTCACTTATCTGCTGCTTAAAAACATGATTTTTTAAAAAAATGCATATCTATATGTATTTACGAGAACCGGCCTCTAGACGGAACTAGAGGCCATGCAATATATTGTGTTTCATGCTTCCGCATTTTTTCAGCATCTACGGGGGTGGTGGGACTTGGAATCGATCCCTTACAGATGCTGCGCTTCTTCCGTACATCCCATTCAGCTCACTCTTTGTTCTGAGACTCAGGACCCAATACAACAAGAAGCAATTTAAACAATGTTGACGCCTTTAAATCTGTATACTTGTAACAGACTTCCATGACCTACTCAAGAGAAGACCTTGGACTTTAAAGGCGATGATGAAAAACCAGACATTAGGGAATGGGGGGGTCTGGTGGCTCCGTAGTGAGTGGGTTGCTGAATCTGCACTTGGTTTCAGGCTGACCTTTTAAGGAGGCGCCCAACTGATGAACGTAGTTTTAGGAGATCATTTTGGGACAGGACATTTTGGAACATAGTTTTGGGATAGGACTTTGGCCAGCTCCTGGGAAGTTCGGATTAAAACCCGGACTGGATTCCTGATGCCATCAACACCCTAGAGGTGCTGGCGGTTGGCGCACACTGATGTCAGGGAGGCTTCCAAGGCCAAAGCTGCACATCACTGGGTTGCCACCAAACACAAGGGCCACTTGGTCGTGCTGACAAGGACTTTCTGAGCGTTTCAGAGTGGAAAAGACCTTTGGACAGCCTCTGCCATTTGCTGTTCCTCTCCAGCTATTGCTCAGCTTCTCCCTAAGGAGCATAACTGCTGGTGAGGGGCGAATGGGAGTTGCAGTCCAACAGCATGGTGGGAAGAAGCTAGCATAGGTACTGTCCACATATATATATACAGTGGTGCCTCGCATGACGAGCACCCCGTTTGACGATGAATCCGCATAGTGATGCGGATTTTGCGATCGCAAAAGCAATCGCATTGCAATGTTTTGAATAGGGAAAACATTGCATTCGGATGATCGGTAAGTGTTTCGCTTACCGATCTTCACATTGTGATTTTTAAAAACAGCTGATCGGTGGTTCCAAAATGGCCGCCGGGTCAACAAAATGGCTGCCCACAGCGTTTTCGCGCCAATTCCTCGCTTACCGAGGCAGCGAAAATGGCAGCCCTATGGAGGATTTCCGCTTACTGGTGAGTTTATCCCCCATAGGAACGCATTGAAGGGGTTTCAATGCGTTCCTATGGGTTTTTTTGCCCCATATAGCGACGTTGTCGGATAGCGACGTTTTTCCTGGAACAGATTAACGTCGCTATGCGGGGCACCGCTGTATATTGCACAGGATAATTACCAACAGTGTGCATGCTACCATCCTGCCTGGAGCATTCTGGGAACTGCAGTTGCAAGACAAAAGTTTATATTCCATTAATAATTGCATCCAATGCAATATGCTTGAAATTCAGCCAGTTTGTCCTCTGGAATGAAGATCAATCGACTGAAGACTAATGTATGCATGCATATGGGACACATGTATGTTCATGGCCTCTCTCTTGCAACCTCTCTCCCCCTGCCACTACAGGACGGTGGAGCATTGCCTACACATGTTTGATCGCATGGTCATCTACTTCTTCATAGCAGCCTCCTATGCTCCTTGGTGAGTTCACGTCCGTGAGAAACTCAGAGACAATGTCTGAGAACAGAAGAAGGCCTCTTCTGAATCAGGCCAAAATACCTGTAAGACTGGGGCAGTGAATTGCGTAGCTGAACGGTGTGATGTGGGAATAAACAAACCCCACCCTTATCTTTCCTGAACCTCTCACCTCCCAGTGTCATTGGGTGACCCCAGGAGTCTGGTTTCATAATTGTGAGAAAAAGAACAGCTATTCAGCCTTCACTGCTGCAGAGTTTTGAATTTTGGTTAAATGCCTCTAACGGTGCAGGAGAAGTGCAAGGATTTACAGAGACAAATAGTTTCCCTGAGTAGTCTCCCTTCCACCCTCCTAAAATAGTCATGTTTAGAGATGGGCACAAACTGAACAATGAACCAACCCCCCCCCATGAATTGGGCTGGTTCGTAGTTGAATT